TTAATATTGTGTCATGCAATGATTTTTATTTCAATATAGTGCAAATTTCTGTGCTTTATTTTATTTATTTTGAAGTATTAGTCTCTATTTCTCCAGGATTGTTTTATATATAAATTATATATATATATATATATATATATATAGTTACACACACAGACATATGTATATATAGTTATCTTTTGATTTTCTAGATCTTTCAATATCAATGGGTGCAGACTAAAGAAAAATTCCAATGGCTTGGACTCTAGCCAAAGGATCAGGAAATGGGGAGCCTAGCCAGTTGGAAAAAATTTATAAGGTAACTGGTTTGCTACAGCCAAAGAGCTTGGAAGAATATCTAGTCCCATCTCTACCTACAATCACAAAAGCCAAATACAGAGCTCAGACTTCCACCTTTTATTGACTATAATGAAAAACCCAATCCCTCCACTAGGGTGGTGTTAGGGATGACTAAGATCCAAGACTTTCGTCCTTTCCAGACTGTAAACTTTCCTTCCCTCTTAATTCTCTTCCCCTACCAATGTCAGTCAAGACCAAGTAAGGACATGTCCATCCATCCGCATCATCAATGGAAGAAAAATGCACTTTTCAAGAAATGGTACTGTAGCAATTCAACATCCTTTGTGGGGAAGAGAGGACATACCATAAATAAAGTTTCATGCCTCATAAAAAATTTAACTCACAGTGCATCACAGACTTAAATGTAATTTCCAAAACTATAAGACATTTAGGGAAAAAAATAAGGGAAAATCTTTGGGATCCAGGATTAGGCAGGGGGTTCTTTGACTGACTTGACTTCAAAATCACAATATATAAAAAGAACCATTGGTAAATTGGACTTGTCCTATGAAAGGCACTGTTAAAAGGATGAATAAACAAACTATATACTGGAAGAAAATATTTGCAAACCACATATCTCACAAAAGGCAAGGATCTAAAGAATATAAAAAACTAAACAACAAAAACAACAACTCAGCAACAAAATCTAAAGTAAACAAACAATAATCTTAGAAAGTGAACAAAAGACATGAGGAAACACATAACTAGAAATAGTATAAAAATGTAAATTAAAACTAAAATGAGATATCACTTCACATCTATTAGAATGGCTAAAATTTTAAAAATACTAACAACATCAAATGTTAGAAAGTGTGGAAAGAAACAGAAATATACTGCTAGTGGAATGTCACATGGATAGATACTCTGGAAAATAGTTGAGAAGTTATTTTTTAAGAAACAATAATAATACATACACACACATATACAAAGCATGTTAAGTACAGTGAACCCAAAAACTATAACTTTGGCCATTTAACACAGATACATGAAATCTTATGTTCACACAAAAACTTGTATATGAAAGCCATCACACGTTTACAGATAAAAGCACACCCCCCAAAAAAAAGACAATAAGAAAATAGAAAATCTAGCTCTTTTTATTTAGAAGATCCAGGCTTTCGTAAAGAAATTCCTTCCATTGCTAACACGGAGAGTAATCACAATGTGTCTGGCAGTTTTTCCTAAGGGCCGGAGACTGTCAGTTGTTGCTCATATTATTTTTCCCTTTTTTATTATATTAATTATTATTATTGATATCATGTCTCTGCTCTAATATTGTAGTGTGTGTGTGTGTGTGTGTGTGTGTTTGTGTGTGTGTAAGCAGGAAGAGAAAACAAGAATTCAATGTAGAATACAGATGCTTTCATTTTAGAACAGTTAAAAGAGAAAAAAGTTATATAAAATAATTCATGAGCAACAAAATATTTTCTTTTTCTTCTACAGCCAAAGAAGAATCATAGATGATTTTTGAACAGGATCTATGACATAATCAGAACTGACCTTTTGGAAGATTTATTTAGAAATGGTGCACAGTAGACATGAGTAGTAAGAGCCTAGAAGTAGTCTCTGAGCTAACTGGTCTTCAAGGCAAAGTGTCAGTTACATGTCTTAATTTCAAGCCTTTGCTCAATAAATAGTTAAAGATTACTCAAATAACTACATTTTGTGAGATAAATTTAGAGAACAGTGTTCATCTAGAAAACTGTGCTAAAATCCATTAGGATAATATGGTAGTTTCCCTTTATGGCGCTTTCAATGTACTTAACTTTTATTTGAATATCCAAAGACTATGGTCTTGTCTTCACAACACATGGCCTTCTGCAAGCTCACTGGCTCACGTCTCAGCGGAGGAAGAGCCCTGGAGCTGGCATGAATACTGACCTTCAGTTTTTTCATTTTGAGGATCATCCGTTGTTATTATGTACTTTTTGTGATGTGTATACCTTTTGTTATGAATTCTGTTTTGTAACTCTCTGTCACTGAGAGGTACCTGAGGTATGCTTTCTTCCCGATTACAGACAGTTTTTTTTCACCACCACAGCTTCTCATCTTAGAGACGTGGGTTTTAGCAACATTCAAGTTCACGTTACATTTAATGTCTAGTGACCTATGTATGAGTGATTCTTGTGGTTCTAATTTGTTGCCATCATCATCTACCTGTGTGGTTTTTTAGGTTTTATCAATTTTTTTCCTCTTCTGTGCCTGTAATTTGAAGATTTCTCTCTTCTGGGGACATTATAGATACCCTTTCATCCATATTCTGATATTTGAAAACTCTCAACGGTTTAGGTTTCTTTTTCAGTAGGCATGATTGGAGGTACATCTATTATAAGGTCATCTTCAGCAGATTCTCCAAGATTTATTGTAATTTTTGTTGGTAATTATGATTCACAAAACATGTAGAATCATGCATCTCCCTTTTTTGGCTCACAAATTTTTAATAGTACCTTTTAAAAAGTTCTTCATAGGTTTTAGAAAGAAGGAAAAATTCTCTATAATTTTATAATTTAGAATTTTGTGGAATTCATATCTATTATATTCATATTTTTCTAACTTAATAAATGACAATAGTTCCTTTCAATATTTTTAAAATGTTTATTTCTGAAAGAGAAGGAGAGAGACAGAGCAGGAAAGGGGCAGAGAGAGAGGGAGACAGAATCTGATGCAGGCTCCAGGCACCAAGCTGTCTGCCCAGAACCCGATGCAAAGCTCGAATCCACAAACTGTGAGATCATGACCTTAGCCAAAGTCAGATGTTTCACTGACTGAACCACCCGAGCGCCCTTTCAACCTTTTTATTTAGAAAAAATATTATCACTTTTGTTCTTCCACAAGTAGCAGAGATTTATCTTGGAATGAACACAGGCTTGGTGTCCGTTTTATTTATCTATACCTACGTCACAAACTACCCAAAATTTAGTGGATTATTTTATTATAGTTCAGATATGGTGGCACCTGAAATTCAGGCAGAGCTCAGCTGGGTGATTTTTCTGTCCATATGACGCTGACTGAGTAAGCATGTTACACACAGCTGAAGACTGGACTGATCTGTGGACTCTAAGACGGTCACACACATACCAGGTACTTTGTGGAGATTGGGGGAAGGCTGCAATCAGTTAGGTGCCTCTTTCTTTTAGGTCTCAGAGATTCTGTAAACGATGTCTCAGTAGAGTAACTGGAATCTTAACTGATGATTCAGATTTCTAAAGTCAAATATCTGAGAGCAGGAAGTGACAGTGGTCACTCTCTAGAGATCCAAAACCGGAAATTGGCAAAACATCAAGAACTGGTCAAGGATCCAAAGAGCCCAGATTTGGTGGAAAAGAACCTGGACTTCACTTCACAACAAGAAACATAACAGGGGCACTTGGGGAGCTCACTTGGCTAAGCGTCGGACTTCTGATTTTGGCTTGGTCATGATTTCAGCTTGTGAGATTGAGCCTCACAATGATCTCAGCGCTGACAGCATGGAGACTGCCTGGGATTCTCTCTGTCCGTCTCTCTCTCTCTCCCCAACTTGCACTCTTGTTATCTCTCAAAATAAATAATTAAACGTAAAAAAAAATGAAAAGAAACATAACAAAGTATTTATAGTATATTTAAAATATCAGTGTCACCATTGAATATCAATTAGCATTTCAATAGCTAAGTAGCTTTTGACATTGAACATACAACTTAATTTCCCAGATTTTAGTTTCTTAAGAATAAAAAGTATATAATTTACTTATCACAATGAGTCTTGGCTGAAATTGAATGAAAATATTTCTATAAAAGTAGGCTACTATCTTTCCCATGGTAAATGTTTATCATAGTTTAGGTTTTCTTTCCTATTTCTTCATTCACTCTGTCCTTACACAGACATTATCTTACCTTGATTATTTTACTTGCCTTTTCTGGACTTCTACAACTATATAAATATTGATTTTATTAATATAAATATTATTTTTGTTCTTGTGTTAATGTACTATTACATTGTAAGCAGACATAAGCCCAGTGATGATCGCAATATAGAAATCTATGAAATGTATGGCCAAAGATCATTTAAAATAAAATGAAAATATAATAATCTACACTGAGATTTAAAAGCAGTTACAATGCTTCAGGTGTTTCTCCACCTACAGTAAACCTAGTTATGGGACAAGGCAATTTCTTTTAAGTAATGGAAAATTGAATTATCTATCATGGCCTCAAGAATGCAAATACTAGTGGCAATTACACATTATCTAAACTCAACTTATTAAAAACTATTTAATGGAAATAGCTCAAATAGGTCCATGACAGTTATAAATCACACAGAAGGACCTTAAATCAAACTAAAATGTATATCATATCTTTTCTTCTAAAACAGGCAATGTGCCTTTAAATGTATTAATACTAGTTGACATGGGGATTGAAACGTTCATGTAATACAATGACTTGAGATGAGAGCTGTTATATTTTCTGGTATAGTCTTTCTAACAAGCTTAGAGGAAATTAAATTTACAAGACAAGCTTTCCGTCTGTGAGTTTATCATTCTGCTATACAATTAAGATTGCAGATATCTTCTCTCTTCTTATTAAATCCTGTAAATGTGCCCAGAGGCTACTGCAAAGGGAATATCCACAAAATGAGATCAAGAAATACATAAATAAGAAATGCGAGTTTAGTATTCATTACTCACGATTTCCAAAGTGTGCATGAAGGATGAGCAGAACATTTATATTCATTCTGCTTGGCTAATATTGACCTAACAGAATGTTTGCAGTACAACATTGTGATGTCAGGGAGTATAGACAAAAAAGGAACTTCTAGATCATGGGCTCAGGACCTTCATTTGACAGATAAAAAACAAACAGATCAATAAAAACAAGTGAGCAAACAAACAAATTCTTGAGGCCTAAAAAAAATTCTGAAAATTCAAAGACCTAGTAAATGACAGAGACAAAATACGAATCTCAATATATATAGAATTCTCTTTACGAATTCATTGCTAACTCTTGCTTTGAAATGTAATCTTTAAAATCCTTACAACATACATTCCAATATTATAAACTACCTTTAATCTACTCTGATGACCCAGTTGATAATCTGACAGTCTGTAGTTTCATGGGAATCAAGGTTTCTACACTACTAAATATAATATTAAATATAGTAAATGTATATAAATCTATTTTACTTCCACTATTTGTAGTGACAGAATTGCATTGCTTGAAAAGCAGTTTATCTTCTGATCCTTAGAAAAAGAATTGGAATTCAGTATTCAGATACTTTAATGTAACATTCAACTAAAATAATATTGAAAAGCAAATAATAATCTCAGACTGCCCAGAGCTATGAAATGTAATCAGAAGCATGTTTTTCAGAAAATTTTTATGAAATTGATTTATATCATATTTTTATATTTTATGATTAAATACACAGGATTATTAATAAGACAATTTTGAATTATAAACTTTTATTATTAAGGAGTCTCTAACATAGAAGATGATACTGAAAAGCTACTTATCTTAGTTAACTCCTTATTTCATCATCTACATAGGTAATTATAGCAACTGATGAGATTGTGTGTTTAGTGCTATGTCTGTATGTGTGTCGGAGGGAGGGTATGTGAGAGAGACAGACAAACAGAGAAAAAGGAAAAGACAAAGAGACAGAGAATGAAACCAATTGCTCAGTGACAAGCACAGTGTTGAGAAGACAGCATGTTATAATGATTTAGGGTTTGATGTGAGTTTGGTAAACTGGGGTTTGAATATTGTCTTCATCACACTGGAGTGGGATCCAATCTTTGGAAGAAAAAAAATCAATCCATTGAGCCGGTTTCCTTGTGTATATATATCTTTTGGGTTTTACAAGGATTGAAAACAGTCTTCTCATTTAAGATGGAAGCAAAAATGTTGATCCAAACCAGTATGATTCAACTAATGTGAAGTATCTCACAAGCAAAACTCTCATCTTGCTTTATAGGCATTTAAGTTCTTGTTTAATTATCATTTCCATAAAGAATCAAGCATTTATTCTATCAAAAGGTATATCATTCAACTTCTATGTTTGAATTCAACATTTTGAATGATATATTTTATCATTCAACATTTTCAACTTTTAATGTTTGTAGGCCCTGCTCCTAGAGTCTCGGGGAAGCTATATATTATTTAACATTCACCAAAGTCAAAATGGCTCAGCAAAGCCTTAAAGCATGGGCTCTATTTCCACCTCACACACACACTGTACATCTGCTGTGTTAAAAAAGTAAATAAATAAATAAATAGCCCAAAATGAACATTACAAACATAAAGAGAAGGAAAAATTTAAATCTCCAGGTTTACTTTAAGATTAAAGTCATAATGATTTTGCACATACTAAAACCATAAAATAAATTCTGTAACTTTCTGGCATGTCCTTTGTGTGATGATTTATAACTCTATGTAAAAAGAGGTACGTATATATCTACATATATATAGATAGATAGAGAGATATAGATAGATACAGATTTAGATATAGGCTCAAATAAAACTCTTTTCCTTTCTCTTTAAAATAAAGAGAAAATTTCTTCTTTTTGCATGTAAAGTGTTACTATTTATAATTAGGATATACAAATAAGTGTAGAATTTGTAGCCATTTTAAAAATAGTATTTAAATTCACATTCATCTTATAAAGGAAAATAAATACTCTGGTTAAAACAACATATTGGTGCTAAATATTACTCATTTCAACTATAGTTTATTTCTAGAGAACATTATGATATTTACATTATTAAGACAAAATGTCTTGATTTTTTGTTTTAACTATAGAAATTAATGTAGTTTGTAAAAAGAAACAAATGGGAACTTTGAAAACCTTGAGAAAATGTAAAACAATATATGAATTTATAGGACATTAGTATAGGGGTATTCAGCTATATTTGGCCCCCTGAAATTTGATGAGCATAGCTCAGATGTGGGAAGCACTGATTCATTCATTCAGCAAACGTGAATCAATGGCTATTATGTTCTAGGCCGTTTTCCAAATACAGGTTTCCACCACTCTGTGAAAGTAGAGCGTTCCTCTGAAATTTTTTGTAAGCTGGAAATGGAGTAAAGTGGAGAAGCAATTACCATAAATTTATATAGAAACATTTTTGGGCATTCCCAGGATCAAAAAAACAAAAACAAAAACAAAAAAAAACTCTTAGGCTTTTCTGAAACCTTAGGACACATCTTGCTAACGGATGCACGAAATGAATCAAGGTAAAGCACAGATGCCGACAGATGCAGTTCAAAGCTCTGGTGGCTTGATGCTGAGATGCTGAGTGTAATCTGGGGAAGGAGCTTGGCGGGATCACCCCCAGTTCTTAGGGCATGCTGCTTCTAAAATAGGTTGCAGCAAAACGAATGCTGAATGTTATTTTTGCATTTTGCCTTTTTTTTTTTTTTAGAAGTGAAAATTCTCTTTGCGTTTGCTTTGGTGAGTGAAAACAGGTATTGATGTACAGGTTTTTTATAACAGTAAAGTGGCATGACTGGAACTTTCCAAAAGCGGGGGATACCTGTACCAAAAAATAAGAATAAGCAAGATACAGTGCCTCTGGTAATATTTCAGACAGATTTGTGAAGGAAATTCATATAGAAACAGGCATGATGGGAATAAGATTAAGGGGCAAAGGCCACGTGAAAATCGCTTCTGAGTTTACCAACTTTGCTTCAGCGAGCTGGACAAGTCTGATTTTGCAATCACAATGACTGAGATGTTACTCACTTGGGGGTAAGATTGTCTCCGAGCAGAGCAATTGGGCAACGAAGATAAATTGAAGGCTAGGAAGACTCTTCACAGATTCTCAGTATCTCACCTTTGCCTCTAAGCTCCCCTCTTCCAGCAGTGAAAACAGGCTAAGCAGATAACGAACCCAACTGGGAAAGGACATGTCCCTTCTGTTAAGTGTAAAGGGCCCTTCCCAGTATCTTTCCCATAAATACTCCATACGCAGTGATGGCAGTAATTATTCTGTGTCTTGAATTATTTTTTTCTTCAAATTCAAATAGCTGATCTACCAAACTAATAGGATTGTCAAGAAGATTAAATGAGATTAATTTTATACACTTCTGGTAATAAAATATTTTCCCATGTATTGTATTCAAATAAAGGGGATGTTGAAAAGACATAGTTTTGTCCACTTTAAATATGAAATACAAAGACTAAGAGAGCTTCAACCACTTCTTTGAAGTATTAGACCTAGTTATATCTCTGATATATCTCTGATATCCCTGCTTGGGATTCTCTCTCTTTCTCTTTCTCTCCCTCTCCCTCTGCTCCTCTCACCTTATGAGGTGCATGTGTTCTGTCTCTACATAAAAATTTAAAATAATTAAAAAATGAAAAGTGAGGAAGAGGGAGAAAAGTAAGTGATGATGTTGGAAAGTTAACAAATGAGGGTGAGGGAGTAGATATTGTTATGCCTTGGGGCTTTTTGATTTTGACTGAGATTTGAAAACAATGAAATACTTTGAATGAAACCCTAACATAATCTCAACAAATTTTAACAGAAAACAGTAGCTGAATTATTGTGCATAGAGTCTACTCATTATACAATAAGTGGGTGAGAGGAAGAAATAGGAAGCCAATTTGGAGGTTAATACCAGGTAAGGGATGATGGTAACATAAAGGAAAATAGTCCAATTTTGTATATCGTTGGAAGTTAAAGCAAAATAATGTTTTGGATTGATTAGATGGTGGGGGGGGGATTTGCAGGGAGGTGTAAAAAGAAAAGGAGACAAAGAAAGATGTTAGGATTTTAAAATTTGAATTGCTAAGAATAAAATTAAGAGGGAAAGGCAGAAATGAGGTCAAAGATCAGGAACTCAGTTTGGGGATTATTAAATGTGAGATGCTCTGTTTTAAAATTTTTTAATGTTTATTTTTTAGAGACAGAGAGAGACAGAGCACGAGCTGGAGAGAGGCAGAGAGAGAGACACACACAGAATCTGAAGCAGCCTAAATGTTAAATACTCTTAAACATTTAAATAGAAGTAATAAGTAAGCAGATATGTATACTCTTCTGAAAGGAAAGTCACCAAAATAGCACATAGCCTCAAAGTGGAGTCACTTAGGCTAAACCCTATATCACCAAACCAAGATCTAATTTAATTACGATTTCTTTTCTTCCAGAAAAAGAATCTTAAACCACTAAGTTAGGAATTGCCTGATTAGCACAAGTTAGTTTATCTGCCTGATAGCTCTCCGTCGTCTTCTAAAGGGAAGTAGTCTTGCACTAACCAAACTGCTTTCCCCCTCTAATATAGTTTCCTTATTCCTGCTCCCCTTCATTTGTTTTGCAGCTCCTCACAGCTCCTTTATGTCTGTTAGAATGAATACTGCCCAATTCAAATAGATTTTTGCTCAAATAAACTCTTAAAATTTTTAATGTGCCTCACTTTATCTTGTAACAGATTAAAATGAAGGTTTAACCATAGCTGATTTTCATCTATAGCAAGAGATTGTTTTTATAGGTAATTGGGCAGAAATGTAAGTGGGTAGAGTTCTTTTCCAGTTATTTTAATTTCTTCATTAAAGTAGGAAGTACAGTCACAGGTGAAAGTAAAGGAAAAGAATGAGATGTTGAGTAGTTGAGGAGAGTAGAGAAGTTATGAAGAAATGCTTAAGACGTTGGCAAAATGGATGCACCAAGGAACAGGGTAAGCTTACAAGGCAATAGTAGCAGCTTGTTTGAGATAAAGGAACATGGATAGAAAGTGAGATCAGTTGTGGG